GTGATTGAATGAATACTATGTACTCACCACTGTCCTGGCCCATTAGAGACACAGAAGAAAAAGGCAAAGTTCCTGTCAGTGATAAAGTGCTTGGGTTTTAGGGTCAAAACTCACTTGTCATTTCTGCTCCCTCTCTGATCCCCACAGTTTAAGCCCTACATTCTCCATCTCTCTTTTCCTTCACACCTCTCATCCACTCCATCCCCTCCTCTCTGCCCCTTCAGCTCCCAGTCTCAGGCCACCCCAGGCCCCCTCCTCTTTAGCCTGGATGTTTGTGGAATAGCCTCCACTCTCAACTCTTCTGTCCCTTCAAGCATCTTCCCATCCCTTTTCCAAGGCCCATGAGGCTAGAGTGTTCTGGCCCCTGTTCACCCCTGCCTCTGCCCCACCTTCTGCTGCTCAGCTCCTCTCCCCTTGGTCCCAGCTGTGCTGCCCACTCAGGCCCTGGACAGGAAGCCCTAGACATTCTCAGAGCTTGTGCACTCACCATTCTGTTTGGCCTTCCCTTGGGTCTCTTTAGGGCCACTTCAGGGGCCTCTTGACTTCCCCAGCCAGAGTAGCACTCCAAGGCACACACCTGCCACTTTCTGTTACCTTTGTATGTTCTTGATCCACTAGCAAAAACTTTCTATTTGTCTGTTTCCTGGATAGTCTCTTTCACTCTTTAACATGTAAGGTTCACAAGAGCTGGGACTCTGTCCTTCTTTCACATGCCTAGTCTCTAAAGTAGAAGCTGGTCAACAAAGTTTGCTAACTGAGGGGCCAGGCTTCAAATGCATTCTGAACAAATACCTCCCCTCTGTTTTCTGTCAAATTGGAAAACATTTCCCTCCAGGTGTGGTGAGACTCCCATAAGACGTGTATAATGTGTCCAACAGACTGTTGCATCTGGCATACATAACTTATGATCTTGACCATATAGTTTCCAGGGGACTCTAAGTGTGGGGGACGCTGATGGAGTCATGACTCCGTCTGGGGGATGCTGATGGAGTCGTGACTCCATCTGTGCAGAGCTTTTGTCTGGAGAGGGAGATTCCAGTGCTAGAGGTTTCTCCCTTGAGGAGTTTACGTAGGATGGAGGAAGCAAGGGTTTCTCGTCAAAGCGGCAAGACACACTTCAGAGACCCAGAGGTAATAGCAGAAAGTCTGCTAGGAGGAGCCACTCACAGTTCTCTGGACAATCTTAAAGCTGCATAATGTCAGGATGACTAACCTCTGTCACTTGTGCCTTGTACTTCTGATCTTTCTAGTTCTTATCTTGTCTGGTGACCTTGGAGAAAACAGTGCACCAGTCATATTGCCCCTTCAATCACCCACTCCCTGCTCTGCCTTCATGCACCAGGTTTGCCTATTCTCCCAGGCACCCAGCAGCAAAATAAATTAAACAAGACCAAAATGAATAGAGAATATATCTTGTTCAAGATTGGAAGACTCAACATTGTTAAGATGCTAATTATCCACAATTGTGTTAATTTTTTTACACAATTAACACACAATTCACACAAACACACAAACTTTGATCCAGATATAGCACCATACAAAAAATAAATAAAACTTAAAATCAATTGCAGACTTAAACCTAAAACTACAAAACTCTGGAAGAAAACTTAGAAATGTTTTGTGATCTTAGATTTAGCACAGTTCTCTGATGTAAAAAACAAAAGCATGATCCACAAAGAGAAAAATAGAGACAGTAAACTTCATCAAAGTTGAAAACTTTTCCCTCCCAAACAGGACTAAGAGGATGAAAAGACAAGCCACACAGAGATAAAATATCAGCAATTATCACAAATATTATGAGAAAAGCAATATGACAAAGGACTTGTTTCCAAAATATGTAAAGCCCTCTCAAAACTCAGCAATAACCAACCAGGATAAAAACGGGCAAAATATTTTAATAGACGCTTCACCAAAGAAGATATGTGGATGATATAAACACATAAAAAGATGCTCAAATCATGAGTCATTAGTGAAATGCAAATTAATACTACAAAAAGATGCCATTACATACCTATGAGAATGAATAAATCAGAAAAACTTTGTGTTGAAAAGTGTATGAAACAACTGGAACTCTCACACATTGGTAGTGAGCAAGTGAAATCATACAGCCATTTTGTAAACATTTTGACAATTTCCTATAAAATTAAAGTTATGTCACACACTTTCCATGACAGCAATTCCACTGCTAGGTGGACCCAAGAGAAATGAAAACTAATCTTCATACAAAAACCTGTATGCAAATGTTCACAACAGCTTTATATACAAAGTCCCCAAATGGGAAACAATTCAAATTCTTTTCAGTGAGTGAATGGATAAACAGATTTTGATACATTCACACAGTGGAATGCTACTCAGCAATAAAAAGAAAAACCTATCAATGCATGAACAACACTTATGACACTTAAGTGGAATGTTCTAAGTGAAAGAAGCCAGACTCAAAGGGTATGATTCAGTGTATGTTCCATTTACATGATGTTCTGGAAAAGGCAACACTAGAGTAATGAAGAGATTAGTGGTTGCCAGGGACTGGGGTGAATAGGGGATTAGTGGGGAGAACAGGGAATTATTTAGAGTGATGGAACCACACAAGGAATTATTTAGGGTGATGGAACGGCTTTGCTTCTTGATTTTGGTCATGGTTACATTACTGTAGGCATTTGTTATAGGCCATTCAACTGTATACCAAAAAGATTGAATTTTACTGTCTATGAAATAAATAAATTTAAAGGAAACAATAAAAGTTAAAGCCTTTCAAATAATCTGTAAGACAATTAATTGGGTGTAGGGGTTTTTGTGTTCATTTCTATCACTTTTTTTGTATCTTCTACTTTTTCCACTTTTTCTAAATTTATATTCCCTTGCTTTGTTGCCTCTTTTATTTTGACTTTTCCCTCTTGTTCTATTTTCCAGACAAATAGTTTGGCAGTATTATACCCTCATTCTGTTCTATCATTGGATGCCCTAGACTAGTACTGCCCAATAGAATGTCTGCAGTGATGGAAATGTTCTACATCTGTACTATCTAATTCCACAGCCACAAGTGCTTGTTCTTAAGTACTTGACATGTGATGTAACTGAGAATTTGTACTATTCACCTTTTTCATTATTTGATTTTAGTTAAGTTGAATTTAAATTTAAATTTACATAATCACATGTGATTAGTAGCAACTGTCTTGAACAAAATAGCCCTAAACATTTTAACATTAATATTTAACTTAACAAAGTCCAAAGTGAATTGAGTAACTCCTCCTAAGCAACACAAAGCTAAAGTCTATAAACACATCTCCTTTATTTACAGAAGAAAATCCAAAGACCTACACATGGAATTCAAAGAAAAAAAAGATACTGTAGCTATTCTCCAGAAAGCTATTCTACCTCTCTCCCACTTTTTAGGAGCCATACATGTATGGAAATGAATTCATGCCAGCTTAAGAATATCTATATGTGCCCTCTCAGTCACAAGGTTTTGTGCTGAAATGGGTGAGCTACTTAAACTGGGACAATTAGATGGCAAAGAGAAGTTTCCTCAGGAAACCAGGATAGACTCATTATTGGGAGAGTAAAGTACCGGATACTACTGCAGCTCTATTTGTCACTATGCAGAAAGCCAGTCGGGGATAGCAAGAAAAGCAGAACATAGGAACTGAACACACAAACAAGTCCTTAAAGAAACTGTATACCACTGAATGAAGAGCTCAGCTGAATTCTGGAATGTCCACTCATGTGAGCCAATGAATCCATTTTATTGTTTCACAATTAGAAAATATTTCTACTGGAAATATGGAAAGCTCTTATTGATATAAAGCCTATTTTGATCTTGGCACCATACTACCTTATCAGTACAGAAAGCATTATTTGCATACCACATTCTTGAATTCTCCTTGTACAGCATCAAATAAAGCTATCCTGTCCCCCAAATATGTTTTCCTGTGTACATGACTATACTCAGGCCATTCCTTCACCCTTGATACACTAGTGAAATGTCATTCATTCTTTTTAAAAAATAAATTAGTGTTAGACATACAGAATGCATAATTAATGTACATACTTAATGTATACAACTTGATGAGTATGGAGATACATTATTACCACAATCTATGCCATCAACCTATCTATCACCTCCCAAAGTCTTTTCCTGCTCTCTTATTATTTTTGTAATAAGAACACTTAACATAAGATCTATCATTTTAGCAAGAATTTGAGTGTACAATAGTGTTAACTATTGGCACCCAGGCTGTACAGATCCCTAGAACTTATTCACCTTGTATAAGGAAACTATGTACCGCCTGACTAACACCTCCATTTTCCGCTCTTCCCAGCCCAACAACCACTTCTACACCTGAGTTTGACAATTTTAGATTTATTATTCATTAATAAATCATTTCTCATATGACACTGCTGTAGTTTCCTAAGTCTGAATTAAGCATTCTTCTCTCTGTACTCTAAAATCACTTGTTTATGTCTCAAATTAGTATTATCAGTTTGCATATTTTGAGCAAAATAGTGTGGGTCAAAAACCAGTCTCTGCATTCTGACGGCCTAGGTTCAGATCCTTGCTCTGAAGTCCGTTACTTCTGCAACTATAAGCAAGTTGAGCTTCAGTTTCTTCTTTTGTAAAGTAAGTATGATAATAATACTTACTGCATAGTTCTATTAACTGTTAAATGGAATAATCAATATAATGGGACACAATTCCAGGCCCACAGTGTTTCCTCAGTAAACATTAGCTGATTATTTTTGCCTGTCTACACTTTCCAAGATTTTAAGTGCCTATATTGTTTGTTAGTCATCTTGTTGTCTTAAGACACGTTTAGCACTGTTAACTCATACCCTATCATTTTGCTTTCCACAAGCACTTATGTGTATGAGCTCCCCAAATATAAACTACCTAAGAGAAAGACTTATAACTACCATTGTTTAAGAACTTATCTCCAAGAACCTCATATGGCACTATGGTTAGACTATCACTCCTGTGGGGAGTTGTAAAAAAGTAGACACACCTCTGAAACTTCAGGTCTAGTCCTCTGGTCATCTCCCGTGGCACTAAATGACTTGTTTTCTTCAGTCTTCATGGAATTCATGATGAGTTCAGAGAGAATATAACTAACTTCTACTAGTGGATAAGATGGAGAAACAAGGATTGAATTTATTCTGCCACGTGAAATGTCTAAAAAAACCCAAAAAAACAAGATCTATGAAATAACCACTTTCAAACACTGGACATCAGGTGGTGTGGGACCTCATCTCTAATATCTGAGAAGAAAATCATATGAGGTAAGCCCTATGGACATTTAGCTTACTGTATGCAGTTTCCAAGGCATATCTTAGGAAGGAGAAACAGGCAGAGTCTCACAGTTTCCCTGAGTTGAGAAGACAAGGTGGGAGTTTGGGGAGGCCAGGATGACTGGAACTTGTATGACAGAGTACTAGGGAGAAGAGAGCCACAGGAGCACACAGTATCAGAGATCTGCAGTGGGTATCCCTTGAGGTTTCAGCTTGGTCAATGCATGGGTGGAATGAAACGGTTGAAAAGGAACAGGAAAAGAATTACCCAAAAGGAGTAGATGTAACAATTTCTGAGGCTCATACAGGACTGTGTATAATTTCAGTTCACAAAAATCTGACTAGAAAGCTTCATAATTCATGAAGTATCAGGGAGACTACTCAGAAAGGTATTTCTTCCATAGTGGGACAAAATTAGCACTAGTTCTTGTCCCACCTAAAAAATAAAAGCAAGCTTTGAAAGTATAAAATGGTTTCCATGTAAAATATCAACGTACTAGAATAAAGCTCAAGAATATTGACAGAAATGTAAAAATTTCTGGCATCCAATGTTGTGAAATTAACAACGCTTGATAACTAATAAAAAAATCAGCAAGCACTTAAAAAGTGGATAAATATGACCCATAATGACAGGAAACATCAGTGAATAGAGACAGGTCCAGAAGTGAGAGAGATGATAGAACTGGTAGTCAGAAATATTAAAAGTCATTACCTTGAATTTCTGGCCAAAAAGGAGTAACAGGGACTGGATTTCCACCTAGTCTGAAAATAAAACAAAACAAAAAAGAGCAAAATATATGAAACCATGGTTTGCAAGGAACTGGACATCATGCAATTAAGGACAGTGACAATTGAAATGCATCCTATAATCCACGTTAGCAGACTACCTTGAAGGATTCCAGGCCAGTGTTGCAAGGAAGGGCGGCAAGACAAAGCTAGTTGGAATTCCAGATTTCAGGAGACAAAGCTGAGAGACCAGGGTGACAAGAGGTCACAGGCCACAGACCTGGCGGGAGACCCGCACAGAGAGGGAACTCCAGATAAATGAAGAGGGTTGCCCTAAAGCATCCAGCTGTGTACTGATCAGAGCAGCAGCTGAGAAAACTTCCTAAGGCCAGGAAGGAACCACCCTAAAACTGTCATAGTCGAACTTTCCTCCAGCCCTCTCCCTGTAACCCTTTTAGGGATCCCCATTTCCTCATTTCTAAATTAAGGACTTTGGCTCAGATCAAACTTTTATTGTTCGTGTGAACTGGTTCCTCTCAGCTTTTTAAAAAGGATTCCAGATCCCACCCTCACAGACTCTGATTCTGTATGTCGGGGTGTGGCTATGGAATCTGCACTTTTACCTGCCTCATCCCGCAACTCCCCTCTCAAACGCGCACCACATTGTTTGAACAGCTGCCTCTGTCACCGCAGGATGACCTCAATGCTTTCCTAAAGTCCCAGAACCTATGAAGGTCACCTGTGCTTGAAGCTGTGCTTGCTTACAGAAACAGACTGCATGTCAGTAACCACCATGCTACAAGATGGGAAACGAACTTAGAAGCGCTACCCTAACCTGAATCGTTGCTAATTACCATACCTAAATCTTTGCCCTGGGGAGAAATGCAGCTTGCTAGGTACATGTAGTGTTGGGGTGCACAGGAAATACGAGACTGCCGCACTCAGCGCTTTCTGGAAAGCCCCACCTCTTTCCAGGAATCCTTGCTCTCCAGCTACTTGCCCTAAAAGACCTTAAGAAACACCCCCACACTACACCCCAGGCACTTTGAGCAGGAGCTCCCCTACTCCATCCCTTGATCAGTGAATAGTTTCTGCTCTACTTAAGGGAACCTGGTCTCGTTCTATGGGCGTGAACGGCACTGGGCAGGGATAGGACCCACCAGGGTCAAACGACCCTCTTGAGATTCAGGAAAACCCAGACGATCTCCAGGTATCTTTTCAGGAGTAAAACTCTTGGTCTTTGAAGCTGAGGGGCGGGGAAGGGAATTACCACACTGGCGGCTGCCCAGCTCCCCATCCAAAACCTCCTTGAGTTTGGGCTGAGGTCCTTCTGCCTATTGCTTTTGTCAGCCATCTCCCTAAGAGAACTCCAGGTCCGACCCAGAAAAAGAAAAACCACTCACAGAACCGGAGAGTCTGTCCACACAGTGCACGTGCCAGTCAGCGCCCACCGCTCTGGATTCGCAGGTGCCGGAAAGGCTGCTCTTTTGTAGCTCTCAGCTGAACTTTTCCCGCCTAGAAGGGCGCGCCGGCGCGCGGCAGGAGCCTGGGAATTGACACTCTCGCTGGCCAATGGACGAAGAGTCTCTGAAGGCTATTTTTCTCTCATTGGATGTAAATGACTCATCTCTGGCCTAGGGGATTGCGCGCCAACCCGCCCACCCTCCCTATTTGGCTGGATGACCCACGCGGGTCTTAGCGATCCCTTCCCCCTCACCACTGAGTCCAAGGCCAGCTCCCACCTCCCAGGATAAACTAAGCAATCACTGCCCTGCTCCTTCCCGCTCATAGGCGTCCCCTGTCTCCCAGTGGAGGCCAAGGAGGAGCTGCGCGGCAGCTGGGCCGAGTGGGAGGCGCCTGGCGGTTTCGCGCTTTCCGACTTTTGATTGCCAGCGGGAGCAGCGCGCTGGCGGGAGCTGCAGGGCAAATAACCCGCCAAGTTGCTTCGGTGTGTGGTAGTTGCTGTCGTTCTGCAGCTGCGAGGTGGGCGACGATGGCGGGACGAGCATCCAGGCGGGATCCGCTGACCGCAGCAGAGAGAGCTCCACCTGTATGATGCAGAGACCCAGTCTCAGAGCAGGCTGCACCCGCGTCTGCGTGAAGTCTACAGATACCTGGCCTGCTCTGCAAATGAACTAACTTCGCAGAGGGGCTGGCGAACACAGACAGTGCCAGCCTGGACGAGGAAGTGGCCAGCACTGCTTAGGCCGGGTTCTCAGGACGCGCATTACTGAGTGAGGTACTTTACCCTTCGAATGAAGACTCCAGAGTTCGGCCTCCCCAAACTGATATCAAAGAAGTGCTTTGCATGGGGCTTGAGAAAACATGTTACTGTTTAAGAAAAGAACGTCTTACTGTCTGAGACCCTGAATAGAGAGAGATGCCTTTAAGTATTGGGTGTTATTTTTGAGAAGTTGGTCAAAGAAGGGGAGAAGATGGTTGATTAAGTGGGAGTGGTGACAATTATTTTGTAATTCATAGAAGGACAGATGTTTATGTAAAAGTTGATAGTTTTGGTGGAATAATCATGAACATGTTTCTGAACTTAATGTAAAATATACAGAGACCTCTAAAATCACTGCTTAAATTACACGGGTCTTGTGGTTTTCAGAAAGAGCAAACTTTAGAAGTATAATTGTAAAAATAATGTCATACAGACAAAGAGAAGAGAAAACTTAATGACAGCTTTCTCAAATCGCTGTTATTCCTGAATCATCTGAAAGCAGTACACGTGACTGGCACCAACATACATCAGCAAGTAAATCGTTGCAAAAGGATTGATCTTCTTTTTTGTAGAATCCGGAGGAAAAAAATCTATGAAAAGCAAGAAGTGGTAGAGAATGATGTTGTCGAAATTGCCTGACATCATTGGAGATAGAGAATTTACCCTGGAAAAAGGCACTCCTTAGGGAGGAGCATCTGCACATTCCATTAGCGTAAAGCACCTGGTCGGCCATATGAAGAAGTCTGGATTTTGTCCTAAATGTGAAATTTATTTTAAATGGAGGATTTGAAGCAAAGGAGTAATATAGCCTGACATATTTTTAAAAATCACCCAGGCAGCTGTGCAGGGTACAAACTCTGAGAGGACAAGAAGAGATGTGGAAGGGAGAAGGCAGCTAAGAGTCTATCCCAGGATGGCAAAGATGTTGGAGCCGGCCTCAGATGGTAATGGTGGAAGTGTTAGAAATGGCTGGATTCCACATTTATTTTGAAGGGCCAGACCATGGAATTTGCTTATGGATGTTCCATAAATAAGAGAAACAGAGGGCTCAGTGATGATTCCTGGGCTTTTGACTTGAGCAACTAGAAGTACAAAGTCTCCATTAACTGATATGGGGAAGTCTGAGGAAGGAGATGCTGTGTGTGCCAGGATGGGGTGTGTGTGTGTGTAATTCTTCTTTTGACATGTTGAATTGGAGATGCTAATCCACTCCAACTGAAAAATAAGGAGGGAAGTGGACATTCAACACATGATGTTGCAACCTCCACCTCCTGTATTCAAGCAATTCTCATACCTCAGACTTCTGAGCAGCTGGGATTACAGATGCCTGCCACCATGCCTAGCTAAGTTTTGTTTTTCTAGTAGAGATGGGGTTTCACCATGTTGGCCAGGCTGGGGTCGAACTCCTGACCTCAGGTGCTCTGCCTACCTCAGCCTCCCAAAGTACTGGGATTACAGAGGTAAGCTACCGCGCCTGGCCTGAGAAATATAATTAAAGTACAGGGAAAATTAAAAGGGAGAAGAAAGTTCACAGATATCACAGCAAACGATAAATACAAAAGCCTGCCTTGTTTCCTAGAGCCCCTGTGTCTTAGGTGCCCTGAATTTTACCTCCCAGTGGACCACTCTTGTCCCTTCATAATGGCGCTCCAAGCAGCACCGCTGCACACCAATTCCGAAGCTTCCCTGCTTCTTGAGTTTAGGAAAAGTTATGCTTCTACTTCCTCTTTATTTGCTTATCACTGGAGTAGCAACTGAACCACGCAATTGGGATAAGTAACCTGATGCCATTTTGGGGAGCAATCTTTCATTTCTTCCTTACGTATACAACTGACCCTCACAGAGAAACTGTCTAGAGCAATAGGTCCAGAGTAGAGCTTTAGCTTTGCTTTTCACTTTGCAGCTGTGCTCTGTTGGGCCACCAAGGAAAACTCACTTTCGGCTAATGCTTATATGGGGCTATGGAAGTTGTCTAACATCCCTGGGGACAGAGTGTTTGCCCTGAAAAGGAACATTCCCTTGGCACAGAGCATCGTGTTGGCTGGATTTTAATATAAATATGACAAGAATACTTTTGGCCAAGTAACTGGTGGTTGGGTCATTTTGTGGTTTGCAAACCCATAAAGAGGAAAAGGCCTCTCACGTGGTTGGGAGAGGTGGGAATGGATCAAGCACTAAGGTTAGGTCTGGTGAAGTTAGGGAATAAGGCCAGTGTTTACGAAGAGTGATTCCTTCATGAGCCCCTGAAAGATGCTATTGAACCCTAACAACATTCTGGGAATACAGAGGAAGGCCCCACTGCCTCTACCTTGAGAGCATATCACAGAGAAAGATTTATATTTGGACTAAATTGATGAGAGCTGAGTAGGAGTTTGATAGAAGAGAACAGGGAACTGTCTGAATGTACAATGGCAGAAGTGGCAGGAAAGGCTGAGGAGAATTGTCCTCTGGGAGTGGGTTAGAGATATGGGCCTGGGCACCACATTCTGGAGCTTGCAATGGGGTATGTAAAAGCTTAGATGGGATGGTCTTTTCCTGTCCTGTGACTTCGTAGTGGGCTCACCTCACTCACTGTTGCAAACAAGCTGCCCCCATTTGAGAGAGAGCTGGCGTGGGGTCTCTAAGCCTCCAGCAACCACTTGGGAGCCAGCCTTGAAGCCCTGGCAGCTAACTCTTCCCATGGAGACCCCATAGTCCATTCTGTCTTGGGAAGACAACACAAGCTTGCGGAAGGTAACATTCCCCCTCCAGACTCCAGAGGCTCCAAGGAGACTCGCTATCTTCAAGAAAAGAAATATTCACTGAGCTGCGGATGGAGGTGAACATGGTTTGGGACTAACATGCGGCTGGATGGTTTCACCTCCATGGCCACACAATGGTACTGGGAGATGAATGGGGTAGGGCGATCAAGATTTAGTTCAACATCAACTTCCGGTGGGGCGGTGATTGGTAGTTGACTCATTTTGGCCCAATTTGATATTCACAGTCACCAGTTGGGGTAGGTGTGACTGTTGCTCCCATTTCACAGATGAGGACAGGATAGTTTGCTAGAGGTCACAGGACTAGTTGGGGAAGGGAAAGGGTGTCAGGTAGGATTTTAACCTTAGAACCTCACGTTTTCTTAGGATCTTTCAGGGAGACCTTGGGGAAATTCCTTTCTGTCTTGCGGGGGGGTCTCCATTCCTTATTTGTAAATTAAGGAGTTCTTCCAGTTTGTGATTCTCTGCACTTTAACGTTTAAACGTATCACTTGGATAGGTTTTTAAAAATAAGGATTCTGGGAACCCCAATATGTTTAAGTAGAGTAGGTCTGGGGTGAGGCCCAGGAATCTGCAGCTTTTAACTAACCCCGGCATCAACAAAACTGGCTGAGAAGCTCAGGCAAAGTTTATGATGAGTGAAAATCTTATTGTGAGCTGTCCAAAACACATAACGCTGAGCTCCATCTGCAGAGATCCTGTTTTGATATGCTTGGTTGGACTGTGTCTTGGTAATTTGCATTTCTCAGAAGTGAGGCCAGTCAGCTGGTCAACCACCCCGCCTGTCGCTCTGTGACCGTCCCCGATCGTCCGCGGTGCTTCTTTACTTGCATCTTGTGGGAATGACATCTGCGCAGGCAGCCCCTTTTTAAGCACTGCCACGGGCACGTGAGCCTAGCCCTTAAAATCCCAGCCCAGCCCTGGATTTGCAGATACTCAGGGCAGGGCAAGGCGCCTTTCCGCGTTTGGTGTAGTCACGCATGCTGCCATAAGATGGCACCAGAGAACGCGCCTACCGGGATAGGGCAGGGCAAGGAGGCGGGAAAGAAAAAAAAGCGACGAGTGAAGATTGACATCCCTTAAGTTCAATCTTTGGTTCTCTGACTCCCAAGCTTCCCATTCTCTTAGGAGGCTGCATTTGTGGCGCTAAAAGAAGGGATGGGCGTGGGAGATGCCGGGACATGTGCTCGCTGAAGATACACCTGTTAGTCCAAGGTAACTCCCGCTCGTAGTGGCTCAACCATCTTTGTTAATTCCCCTTCCTCTCAGTTAACTAGGGCTGCTTCACCTGTCTCTAGGCAAACCTACTCCCCATCGCGCTGGGTGTTTTGGAGTTTTTAAAAGCGTCACAGGGTAAAGTCAGCTTTGTGCTTTTCCTTTTCTCAGCAGGTAAGAATTTCTGGCGCTGACAGCGGGGAGCTGCAGGGCGGGAGCGGGGTGAAGAGAGAATAGGGTGAGAGATAACAGGTGTGAAGCGTCTGTCAGTGCCAGGCATCGTGCTTTGGCACCTTCCATTAGTTTGTCCCAATCAT